GAACGTCAGCCTTCCTGCTCCTCTGATGCTGCTTAGCCTGCTGTGTTCATCCAGCTCTACACCTTGTTATCTCTACTCTTCTGCCATATTTGTTTGTTTACCAGAGGAATTTATGGCTCTATAGTTATACCTTTGCTGCCTTGTTATTGATGTAATGCCCTAATGCAATTTTAAATGTTAAATTCTGTGCCCTGCAGCGATGAAAGTTGCAGTAGGAATGCAAAAGCAGATCACAGCCAAGCGTGGACAGATTGATGCACTTCAGAGCAAGATCCAATACCTAGAAGAAGCCTTACAGAATTCTGAAAGGGTATGCAGTAATTTATTCATTTTTTAATCTTACTCAAACTATTGATTAGAAACAATTTATTTCATTGATCACCTAATTAATAATAATATCTCTTCATCCAATGATGGTGGGGAACATACTCCAACATACATTTTTCCTTTAGTACTTTGTACTGTATTGAGTCATCATTACCTTATGCTTTCTAATTCCCCTAATCTATTTTAGCTGGAGATTTTGTTTTAAACTACACTCTAGTTTGTCTACTATCAAATGTTGGCATTTTTTGATGGCTTTCGTTGTGCAAACAGAACAAAAATATATCCATTCCAATTTAGTGTTATAAGTGAAGTAATTATTATAATCTTCTACAGACGTGTAGCCAATTTTAAAATTTTACTTGTTAAGTTCCATTGTCCATAGTCACCAATGCTTGTTTTTTCTATTATGTTACTTAAATTGACTCCAGCTTCAAGCAGAGTGATCTATCGTGGAATTGCTTCAGTTCCAGTTGATGCTGTATTCTGAATTTCAGACTCGCATTGAACATCATGTATTCTTTGGGTAACATACCCATATGTTGTGGCCAATTTCTCAAGATTTCCACAAGTGAAAAGCTTGCTGTAAGCTTCAGCCTATTGGAGCCCTCAACACTGATTCTCACAGTAAAAACTGCAGATGCTGTAAATCAGAAACAAAAACAGAAATTCCTGGAAAAGCTTAGAAGGTCTGGCAGCATCTGTGGAGAGAAATCAGAGTTAATGTTTTGGGTCACTCAACCTGAAATGTTAACTCTGATTTCTCTCCATAGATGCTGCCAGATCTGCTGAGTTTTTCCAGCAATTTCTGTTTCTGATCCTTACAATCCCTCGAATACTCCTGACTCATTGCATGGCTGAAGCTGGTCGAGAAATGTAACACCTCTTCGTCTAATGGAGGGATGATGGCTTTCCGAACATGTAACAAAATTCTTCAAATGGTTGATGGATAGGTGGAAGGAAACAGAGCTGTAGATCAACTTATGAAATTTCATTTTGAGAAAAAGCCCAGAGCAGAATTCAGATTTTTGAACTTGCAGGAGTTGAAGAAATCCCAGTTTGTATTTGGACCTACAACTCTTTGTATTTTCTTTATTATTGACATACTGTCTTATTTGTAACTTCCATTCTGTCCTTCACTCTAATGCGCGTTTGAAACATTGCTAAGGAGTCAAGCTCCATAGAGTACCATTTTCAGAACCTGTGAAAGCAACCACAGTTTATTTACATATTGTTCATTCTCCCCTTTATCTTATTCACTTTATTTTTCATTTGTTACCTTACAACCATATGAATTAGGAGCAGGAGTAAGCCATTCAGCCCCTCAAATCTGCTTCATCATTTAATAAGATCATGCCAGATCTGATTGTAATCTCAAAACCACATTTCTTTCTCCCCTGATAACCTCTCACCCCCTTGCTTAATAAGAACATATCCACCTCTGCCTGAAAAATACTTAAGAACTGTATTTCCGCCACATTTTTCAGGAAGAGGGTTCCAAATATTCATGACCATTTGAAATAAAATAAATTGCCTTTTTCCCATTTTACATGGGCAAAGTGAACCCTAGTTCTAGAATCTCCCAAAAGAGAAAATATGCTCCCCACATTTACCTTGTCAGGACTCCTCAGAGCCTTTCGTTCTTCAATCAAATCTCCTCCTCTTCTAAATTCCACTAGATACAAGGCTAGCTTATGCAATCTTTCATAAAATCCCAACAGTGTGGAAACAGGCCATTCAGCCAAAGAAGTTCACACTGACCCTCTGAAGAGAATCCCACCCAGACCCATCCCCCTTCCGTATCTCTGTAACCCTACATTTCCCATTGCTAATGCACCTAACCTACACATCAATTTAGCCTATTGGAGCCCTCAGCAATTTAACATGGCCAATCCACCAGCTTGCACGTCTTTGTACTGTGGGAGGAAACCGGAGCCCCTGGAGGAAACCCACACAGACACGGGGAGAATGCGCAAACTCCACACAGACAGTTGCCCGAGGTTGGAATTGAACCCAGGTCCCTGGCACTGTGAGGCAGCAGTGCTAACTAACCACTGTGCTGCCTTGTAGAGCAATCTCCCGTTCCAGGTATTAGTGTAGTAAACCTTTTTTGAACTGCCTCCAATGCTTTTACATCCTTCCTTAAATGAAATGATCAATGTTGTGCAGACTACTTCAATTGTAGCCTCACCAGTGCCCTATATGACCGAAGCATTGCCTCCCTGCTTGTGTATTCAGTTCCCCACTAAAATGATAACATTTCATTAGAATTTCTAATTACTTGCTGTACCTGCAAGGTAATCTTTTGCAAATCATGCATCAGGGCATCCAGTTTCCTCTGCATCTCAAAGGTCTGCAATCTCTCACTATTTACATAATAAGTTTCTTTATTATTCTTCCTGCCAAATTGGACAATTTCATATTTTCTCATGTAAAATACCATTTGCCACATATTTGCCCACTCACTTGACCTATCTGTATATTTTTGTACCTTGCCTATGTCTTCTTCACAACTTACTTCCCTACCTATCTGTCTTCATCAGCAACTTTGGTAACCATACCTACTGACCCTTCATCTAAATAATTTATATAACTTGTAAGCAGTTAAAGCCCCTGTGCCAATCCCTGTGGCATGCCACTTATTGCATTTTTCCAACTTGAAAAAGACATTTATGCCTACTCTCTGCTTTCCTGTCAGCCAGTATGCTGCCCATACACCAAAAGCCTTTATTTTCCTAAATGAGCTTTGTTGTGGCAACGTATCAAAAGCCTTATGGAAATCTAAGTACAGTACATCCACTAGTTCCCCTTTATCTGCAGCGTATGTTACCTCTTCAAACAATTCCAATAGATTGGCTAAACTCCAATAGATTTCTCTTTCACAAATCTTTTCGACTCTGCCTGATTACTTTGAACTTATCAAAGTAACTGCTCTAACTTCTTTAATAATAACTTCTAACTTTTTCCCTATGCTAATTATTAAGCTAACTGGCCTGTATTTTCCTTTCTGTCTCCCTTTTTGAGTAAAAGTGTTGCTATCTTCCTATGCAATGAGACCACCCCCAAATCAGGGGAGTTTTGGAAAATTAAAACCAATATGTCAAATTATCTCACTAGTCACTACTTTAAAGACTCTAGGATGAAGTCCGTCAGGACCTAGGCACACGTCAGCCTGAAGGTCCAACAATTTACTCAGTACCACTTCTCTCGTGATTGCCATTTTCCTGAGTTCCTCCCTTACTTCTATTTCCTGATATAACACTGCTTCTGGGACATTACTTTTATTCTCTTTAATGTAGACTGATACAAAATACCTGTTCAATTCAGCTGCCATTTCCTTAGTTTCTATTATTAGTTGTCCATTCTCAACTTTTATAGGACCAGTGCTCACTTTGTTAACTGTTTTCATCTTTCAATATTTATAGAAACTCATATCAAGTGTTTTATATTTTTGCTGGTGTTCTCTCATACTCTAGGTTTATCTGTTTATTAACTTTTTAGTCAATCTTTACTGTTTTATATATTCCATCCAATTTTATTACCTGCCACCAATCCATGCTTTAACTTCTCGCTTGATACTTTCTTTAAACTTTTTAGTTGTCCATTGATAATGGGTCTTTTCTTTAGAATTTTAGTTATAGAGCCATAGAATGGATGGAATCAGCATGGAATCAGACCCTTCAGTCCAATAAGTCCACGCCGACCATGTTCCCAAACTAAACTAGTCCCACTTGCCTGTGCTTGGCCCATGTCCCTCCAAACCTTTCGTATTTAAAAATGTCTTTTAAACGTTGTAACTGTACCTGCATCCACCACTTTATCTGACAGTTCATTCCACACACGAACCACTCTCTGTATAAAAATGTTGCCCCTCATGGCCCTTATTTTCTCGTTGGAATGTATCTATTCTGCACATTCTGAAACATCTCTTTAAGTGTCTGCCACTGCATCTCTATAGACCTATCCTTTAACCTAATTTGCCAATTCACTTTAGCCAGCTCTGTTCTCATGTTCTTCTTTAACTTTTAAGAAAATGTCTCAGGCCTCTCTGCCTCAAACTGAATGTAAATTTTAATCATATTGTGGTTGCTGTTACTGGGCACCTTCGCTGTGGGATCATTATTTTTAAAATCTTATCTTATTGCATAATACCAGGTAAAGCTTGCTCTCTGGTCAGTTCCAGAATATGCTGCTCTAAGAAACTTTCCAGAAAACATTCAATGAGATCCTCATCTAAATTTTCTTTGCCCGTCTGACTTTTACAGTTGAAATGTAGATGAAATCTTCCGTGATTATTGCTGTGCTTTTCTGGCAAGCTATTGTTGTTTCTTACTTAATGATTGACCCTACCATGTGGTTACTGTTAGGGGGGCCTATAAACCACACCCACAAGTGACTTCTTGCCTTTATCATTTCTCATTTCTACCCAAATTGTTTCCACTTCTTGGTTTCCTGAACTTGTGAAATTATGTGAGTGTTTGTCATATTGTGGCTGTGTGTTCGTATGCTACCATGATTCCTAGAGATCGTAGGAGTCTCGTTGCCAGTTCTGATATGTTCCTGATATAGGGTAGTATGGCCAGTGTTTTGGGGCATACTGTGTCCTCTTGGCGTTCTCTATCTAGTAGGCACCTGTGGATGAAGTTATTGTATTGTGCTAATATCATCATTAACTAACACAACCTCTACTCCACCTTTTCTATTTTTATGTCATTCTTAAATGTCTTGTACCTTCAAGATTCAGGTATCGAAGTATACCATCTTATATTTATGCCTCAATAGTGGCTTCCAGATCATACTTGCTCATTTCCGTTTGTGCTCTCAGTTCATCAGGTTTGTTTTGAATGCTAAATGAATGCAGAAACAGAACCTTTAATTTTATCCTTAACTCTCTTAGCTCCATCACATATCCCCATGACTTTCAGAACACTCCCCCATCCTGTGTTATACATGGAGAAAGTGTGCTTTTCTTTACCTTTCCTCACA